AAACAGAAATAAAAACCGCACAGTAACAAAACTATAGACAAAATGGACTATGAGGTCTCTGTGAACAATATTTAAAAAAAATATTAATCACCAGAAAGAAAATTGTTGTCCCTTTTTACTAAATATGTGATGTCAAGAAATGACTTCAAATTGATTTTCCTCCGTTCTCTTCAGGTGAGTACTGGATTGATCCCAACCAAGGCTGCTCTGGGGATTCATTCAAAGTCTACTGTAACTTCACTGCTGGGGGTGAAACCTGCATCTATCCGGACAAAAAGTCCAATGGGGTAAGCGACTTTGCATTAGTAAAATAAACATAGCATTAGGAAACTCCTGATTTCCTTCCTTTAAGACCTTCATGCTGCACTGTAATTACCAAAGAAGGTTTTGTTTCGGCTTGGAGAAACTTTTGGGAGCATTTGAATGTTTGCAAAATACCACAAAAGTCCTCTGGCATTAAGTTTTTTTATATTATTATTTCATAGAGAAAAGCACAGAAAACTTTCTCTATTTTCCTGAATAATAAGCTGTGATTTTACCCCAGAGGTTTCGCTTTTATACTGTTTTCATGTTTTGTTCATGACTGAGTGCAGGTTATATTACCCATGATGACTCCACACGCCGATGTTCTGCTCTGTTGTCTGCAGGTCAGAATATCCTCGTGGCCTAAGGAGACTCCAGGTTCATGGTTCAGTGAATTCAAGCGGGGTAAAATAGTGAGTGTTTCTGTTTTTCACCCGTCTCCCACCACACTCCGGTCCTCACCTCGTCTCTTGGGTTCTGTCTGCGTTCTCCCAGTCCCTGCAGTCAGAACTTTAGTTTGAGTTTATTAGAAGCTTCTGTCAGGTTTTCATACAGTAATGTCTCTTTTTTCATAATGAAAGTCAGAGTTTGAGCTTCACCATCGGACCGATTTACAGCTTTATGTGTTTCTGTAGGAAAAATATGAGGTTGGATGTTTATGTTCATGTAGTCACTGAACTTGAAGTACTTTTAATACCTGTAGTTAATACCTGTAGTAACCCCTAACAACCAGTTACACTGGTTCACCAGAAGCATTTTGAGACAAACATACTGTTTTAAATTTATTCAGTCTTGAATGAAAATGTGTGTTTTTTGAAACAAATCAGCAAAACATGAAAGGCATCCGAATAGTTTTTTTCTGTGTCCAAAAGAGTAACTTTAGTGATCCTTAGCTTTTTATATAAATAGTTAGTTAAGGGACATTTTTATCAGAGAGGATGATAAATCAAACGGCCAAAATCTCCTGAAAAGGAGACAAAACTGAGTTTTTAAAAAAAAAACTACCTATACATACTTTAGTGTCTATGCAAAAGCTTAACGATGGAAAAGATCTGATTTTATTTATCTGTTGCAAATAGAGAAGCTAAACCTAATAACCCTATTGCTACAGAACTAATATAACATTGAATATTACAATTGCAATGTTATTTATAAAACAGGTACTGTGATTATTTAATTTTTTTATGCATAAGCTTTACCAAAAATATACAATAAACACCTGCCTGATTGAGTGAAAATCTTTAATTGATTATTGTACAGAATATACAATAAATGTAGTTATTACATTACATTTATTTACATTTGATTATTACATTTATTGAATGAAATTATTACATTATGCTAAACATAAAACCCTCCCCTACTTTTCGTGCTCTTCTCCTTCCTTTCCCTCCCTGACAGTTTTCCTACGTGGACGCTGACGGAAACTCGATCAACATGGTACAGATGACCTTCCTCAGACTACTGACCGCCTCAGCCAGGCAAAACTTCACCTACAGCTGCCACCAGTCTGTGGCGTGGCACGACGCGGCCAGCGACAGCCACGACAAGGCGCTGCGCTTCCTGGGTGCCAACGACGAGGAGATGTCTTTCGACAACAACCCGTTCCTCCAGGCCATCTCGGATGGCTGTTCGGTAAGCGGAGTCCGTAGATAAGACTTTGGATGTTGGTTGTTGAGATGCGCTGACAGGTTTTCCAGCTTTCCTGATTTCCAGCAGGGCATCCTTAAGAAGTCTTTAATTTGTGAATCTAAAATTAAGGCCTTAAAATGTCTTGAATTCATTCAAGAAAATGTAAGTTGGGCTTGAAGGCGTAAACCACAGGTTTTAAGTATTGTTTAATCTCGTAAATTGCATGTAGGTTTTTTTCTCGCATTTACATGTTTTACTAATATAAAATAGAGCAACTTTGTCTTACTTCAACCGACCTCTTATCTGGTAGAGAGTCTTGCTCTCTCTTACTGTCTCGCAGCCTGAAGGAACAGCAAACATGTCTTAGGTTTGTCAGTAGCATCTTTTATTGCTAATTCACGTAGCTGCTGCTGCCAGTCTCGGTGTGTATTCTCTATATGTTGGTCTTCGTCCCAACGATGAGATTTCCAAAAGACACATGTCCTAGAAAATAGCTTCTTACATCTCCTGACTTGAGTTTTGAACCAGCTGCTGACATTGGAAAAAAAACTAACTGTTGAGTCACTTTTACTCAGTAGCAACATCCACACCAAAGAGTGTGGCTCACTGAATTGTGGCCTTCACTGAACAGAAAAGGCCTGAAAATAGAGGTTTAAAACCAATCAGGCCAAA